GTTAAACCTGTTCTGTAAATTAAGAGACATGTAATATAACAAATTTTAAAATTACGGTTTGGCCATTTTAAGTTAGGTTATACAATGCAAATGTTTCAATATGCCTATTGCAATTATGCTAACAGTTTATCATCAGGTCTATTCCCAAACCATAACTGGCGACAGCACACAAGGTATAATTCAGCCTAAGTTACTTAGTTACTAGGCTAAGTTATATGGAGAAGACTCTAATACAACTATGTATTAGTTTCTCAAGAAAACCCCCTTTTAGAATACGATAGCCAGTCCTCGAGTCGAGCACAGTGTAAAGTTTAATCAGCGTGTGCATTCAGTTCATCGTCTTTCAGCGACGCCATTGTTGAATTTTAATTGGTTTTCCATATCACAATTTCTGCCCATGCCATTTCAAATGATGAAGTCCTCTTTATACTTAAATCAATCTTAAACATTTCCTAAAACCTTTTTATCAGTTTTAACTTACATGTACCAGTTTCTTACTTCCATATTAAGCTTCAGTTGTAAACAGAAGTCAAATGTATAGGAAAGAGGCCTAACTTACTAAACGGATTGTCAGCATTATAACTTTATAATTTCAGTATTGGGGTTATACACACGCTATTGTGTCTTTGAACGTTATTTGATTAACTTATTGTAGGTCTACCAGTAACAAGTCTACACACGTAACACATTAATTGCCATGTGGGAAACCACATGTATGTTCTTAATTTCATTTTTTTTTTAATGGGTAGCCTCCGGATTATCGAGATACAATTAAAGTGGTTTAAATACCTGAAATGTCGACCACTTGGGTTTGTCGACATTACAGGTATTTAAACCACTTTAATTATGTTCTCAACCTTATTTGTTGGTAGAAAACCTCAGACCAATTTCAGACTTAACCAAGTTTTGTGATGACGTATTATTTGGAGAAGTTTAAATAAAATGTTAGTTAACCTGGTTATGTACTAAAGGGAAGATTAGATACAGTACTTATATTGACCACCCCCCTCTCCTAAAGTTCCAGACATGTTATTAGCTTACCTCTGGTTCCAAAATATTCTTGTAGAGCAGTGATTATTGTGAAAACCCAATAATTTTGATGGAAACCCAGTATGGTTTTTGTAGACTATTTTATGAAGAAGAGTACGGTATTTTAACCCATATTGGCACCAAACAGAAAGAAACCATACCATATCCGTGTCCTGCTCCTCTTTGCCAAAGTAAAAAGAAGCAAAACCGGTGTTGTAGTGTGCAATCCAAATTAAACTCACGAATGCCGTTAACTTCCACCGATTTTGGACACCGTTTATTTAAGGCAGGCCCTCAACTTCAGCTAAGCCACATATTAGCAAGCTCAATGGATTGCACATCTACGGGAAACGGACCTGCGCATGTAGAAAGACCTATATGTTACACTCGCCAGTGCAACGCCTTTGCCTTAGCTAACTGAGCTGTCATACCACTGTCGGCTTGCACTAAAGTCGATTGCAATGTACTACTAGAGGGCTAGTGGGTTAGCTGTGCAACCATCTTTCATTATTTAGTTTCGACTATAGCACAAATACTAATTACAGTACAAACTGAACACTTTCTAAAGAGGTCACCAGCCTCTTAATCTTGCACTTTAATTGGCCCTCAGGTTTGCGCAAGGAACCTATTGTACAATCCCAGAAGTGAGACGATCCCCGATTTAGTATAAGATTGAACTACTATATGATGAATTTTAGAAGTGGCACTGAATCGTGAACCCAAAACAAGTCTGCCATAGGTTTTTGGTTAGTTGTGATACTGATGAGCAACTGACTCACCTAACACAGACAGAAGCCCAGTTAGAAATTGTTCTTATGTTTATACATTAGGGTGTGTTGCTATAGTCCTCGCCACCCTAACTTGAGGCAGCCCAAGGCCGCACGCCGTATATCTAGTGCGGCCCTCGGCTGCCTCAAGTTAGGGTGGCGAGGACTATAGCCTAGTTGTTTGCATCTCAGACTTCCGGTGTGGAAGTGACGGGTTAAATTCCCGACACATCCTCAACACATATGTGGGTTTTGACCGCTTTCCCTTAAAGCGTTTTATTACTTTCTCATGTAATTTCTCCTGTTAAAATGCCACCGATGTCAGTGGTGTAGTGGGGATGGAATGAGTGGGAATGACGTTCACATTCTGCCTTTTCCAAAGAACCTATATATTTGTAAGAGACCTGTATTTTTTGCGACCTTGGTGAGCATTCCCACACTGGAATATTTACAACTATACCACTGACCGGCATTGATAACAAAAAAGAAGATAAATGATGACTTATTCCTCGTCATTTTGTCCTTCATCAATTCGTAAATGAATTAATATTGAAATAAAGAAGAATACTTGGTCTTATCTGTAAAATAACATTTTATACTTATGCTATCTTAATATTTAAGTTAATGGAAACTGCTGTGTGTTATATCTGTAAATTTCTTCTACTTTTCTGTCAATTTCTTCAGAATCTTTCTTTGTGTTACTACTTTCCTCTCATGGCTGCTTTTTAAAATTTCATTTACAAATCCATTTTCATGTGTTGGTCTATGTTTCATGCACAGTTTTCAAACCTGCACATGTTATGGCTGTTCACATCAACACAGAATATTCAAGCATGACTGTGTTTGTTTATCAACTAAAGCTTGAATATTGTACTTTTAAAGTTAAAAGTTACGCAGGCAATAGGAAACGTTATTCCGTTTTTAAATCTGTTATCAAAATTTTACATAAAAAATTAATTCTGTTATTGTTGAAAACTAAGGGGCTCGGGTTTTGCTTTCAACCTCTAAAATACTATCAGAGTCCCTATGGGGATTTAGATCCTGTAAAGTTTAAACTTTGGTTAAATTAACATATTAAAACACAAGTTATTTTTTTTTAAACTTAGGGAACTCTAATAGCACATTCTTTGAAAAAATCAATATTTTAATCATAATTCCTTGGGGTTGTTAAGGTAAAAATAAGCTGTATTTTTTAATTTACACAATTTCATAACATCTAAAAAATAAAACCAAAATTTTTAACTAAATAAAACATACAGCCTTTTAGTACTTTGCTATCCACACATAATTATGAAATAAACCAACTCTTTTGTCTTTAGGTTGACAGGCTGAATTTTTTTATCATAACAATAAATTGCTGCGTTTATACAAATCAATATGAATACTATGTTTATTAACATGGTCTATAGCTTATACCTAAAAGTAGACTAATCACAATTCTAACATAAGTGCTCAATTTATTTTTTTTCATGACTAAAGTTTGGACCGTTTCCTTCTATTTTCCCTTTCTATTTTTACTTATACAAAAAAGTAAAATCTCAATAGCACTAATACTCCCCCCCCCCAACAAAAAATGGTGCCATATTGATAGCTTTTTTTCGGTGGTTCATAGTAAATCCCAAAATGAACTTTGAAAAAAAAATAAAGACCTGAGGTTTATAAATTATTTGTGTCTAGCTATTGTATTCTAATTGACTAAAACTAGGTTAGTCAAATTCTAATATGATACTCTATGGTATGTGGAGGATACCTAATTTGTCAAAAAAACTATAAATAATAACACATTATTGTATGTAACACATTGTAAAAGTGTTGAAAATTACACGGAAAACCATCTAAATCTTTTAAGGTTTATCAATAGTCCATAAACTATTCTCAGACCAACTTAAACATCCCTACTAATGTTTTGTAACATAACCTATAATGTTCCAACCAATACTTGATTGTTCAACAATATGCTAAGTGTGTGGTATGTGTTGCATGCTGCATTAGTGGTGTGACCAGTAACTTATGTCCAAGTACACCTCACTGGTAAGCTATAATCATTTATCTTTTTTTTACTCTTCTTTGCATGACTCTGTTAAGGTTAGTCAATGATTAAATTATACATCTAGGGGACATTTTTTTGTTCAAAATCTGTTATTTTATAACGATTTGTACATTTTTAGACATTCACTGTAAATATTATAATATAGGGTGATCGATTATTGTGATTTTTGAAAAAAAATGAAACAAATAGTTTACTACTTATGGTATACACTATTGAGTACACTTAATTTAAAAATCTTATTTGAGTTTGATGCTGCAACTCTAAAATAAATAAATAAAGATTGATACAACTTGTATAAGACTTTGCATTGGCATGTAATATAGTTACTATTTAAAGCAGTACCCAATATTTCTTTGGTTCTTAGGTGAATAATACCCAGTAAAGTAGCAAATGAAATCTTTACGGTGCTCAAGTATTCTCATTCAATGGTGTTGCATACATCAACATTGATCAACATTGATTGTGTTTGGATCTAATCAACATTAAATGTTCACAGTTCACATTCTGATCACCCAAGTTTATTATTTTGGAGTACCCATTTTAAATAAGCTAGTTATTTTGAGTGATATGATAAAACACTGCAAACTCATTAGTTACTGAACAGATTCCTAATTTAAGTTTAAAAGTGTTTGTAATTATTTATCGACAAGTGTACACAACAGATTTAAAAACTGAAATCTTTGAATCTAAATGATTAATCACAATATATTATATGTGCCTGGTTAGGTTTTATAGGAAAGTCGATTGGTGAAATGTTGACTCAGATTATGTTCATCACTATATCTGAACTTAGGACAAACTTTATAAAGATATTAAATGCAAACCTAGATATAGTACAGAGAAGTAAGGTACAGAACAAAACTTTTTGTGGGACAACTGTGTGCTTTCAACTCTAATATGTTGTGCCGGAAATATACTTGTGACAAGCAAGGAAGAGCTGCGAGCGCTGTGTGAATATTCCTATCGCACAGGGTATCTTCTTCTTCAAGTTGTAGTACATGGTGAAGGTGTTGGCTTTGCCCTAGACACCAGCGACTAATGCTAGACACCAAGTGAATGTTTCCTCTGTACCTCACTTCTCTGTGGACAGGGTGACTAGCACCGAATGGAAGCTAGCCTAGTTTCTTGTAGTCATTGTATGGTGGGTGTTGCAGGGCTCAGCAGATTCTAACTACTCGCAGCCTTCATCTGACTTGTCGCTGGACGAGGAGAAGGAGACCCTGAGGAGGGAGAAGGAGCGGCAAGCCCTCAGCCAGCTGGAGAAAGCAAGGGTGAGTGAGCAACTCCAGCTACCTCTTTAACTAATTTAATGGTTTGACTCCCCATTTAAGTCCCATGGCACTGATAAACTCATTTGCTAGCTGTAAAATCTTTCCATACGTCTTATCTCCTCCCTAACTGCTTAATTCCCTCCTAAGCTGTTTAATCTCCTCCCTTTTTTACTCCCTTCCTAGCTTTAAAACTCTTTCCCCAGGGTTAAGACCCCCTCCCCACCGGTGGGTAAACTCCATGGTGGAAGGAAAAAACATAGTGTGATACTCCTGTCATAGGTTGACGGCACCCAGATTGCAAACAGAAAATCACCTGATAAGTGTTTTGATTTGATTGTTATTGTTTTACTGTATAATTTTTTCTAAGTAGTGAAATGGCGTTTGCAGTCTGGGTGACGTAAGCATATGACGGGAATATCACACCTATGTTTTTGCACTGAAATGCAAACTAGTGCTACAGAACATTAGAATCTCTCGAGTCAGTTAAAAGAAACTAAAGGGTTGTTTGTGGCAATTTAACTAGAAAGTAAAAATACCCCCGCCGCAGCAAACCTGCAGACTAAGCGAATTTCCATTAACCTGATTGGATTTACACTAAAATGCCTCCATAAAAATAGCACATTTATTTCCTATTTAAATAGAATTAGTTTAACGAGTAAGTACTTTTGGTTTGCTGCAACAGGGAGGGTAAAAAAGATTTTTTTTATAAAATGATAATAGTTTAGTAAGAAATAAAAGTATTTTCCAAAATCGATCAAAATATGTTCATAAACAAGCAAACTACAACAGTTACCTTATTCTCCATAAGAATAACATGGGAATTTTAAAATTACAATTTTTTTGAATTTTCTCCGTAACAATTAGGCGCATAATAACGCTTCAATATACTAAATTATTTGTTTTTTTAAGCTCTACAAAATGGTTTAAAAAGAAATTGTGAAATTTTGTGTTTTTAGGGTCAAAAATGGAAAAAACCTATTTTTACCCCATAGAACCCCCTATAAACCCCCGTTCCCATAGTCCGATCATGCTGGTTCGCGAACTCATTCAAGTTTATCCTGCCTTACACCTTCAAACCAAATTTTATCAAAATCGGACAAAAATTACTCAAGTTATCGTGCGGATGGACACATATATATATATATATATATCTATATAGGCCTATAGATATATAAAAATTTGAACAAATGGTGTTTCTGGCCTCTGGGGACATCAAAATGAAAAAGTAAATCGGTCCTGGGCTTAGGTCTTACCATGAGACCTACGGTAATAGCTACTTCCCTATAGGGAAATTCGCTAAAAAAGGAAAAACAAGACCAAATAGATAAACAAGACGAATAATAGAAAAACTGATAGCCTACTGTATTACGATAAATATGTAGAAATCGTAGCCTTTGAAAATCTTTATTCAACTTTTGTGCAGTAAACAAGACAAAAAAGATAATCAAGGTGGACATATCAAAACTGGTACTCTATAAATGTGTAGACTTCATGGCTTTAAAAATCTTATACACTTCAACTTGAACTTTACATGATGTGACCTTAGTACCGGTACCTAGAAACTTTGCTTGGTCTAGTATGATCCATCAATTACTAAGTAGATTACCTATTTCCCTTGAGACAGTTAACTAACAGCTGATCATAACTTGGTTGCTTAACTAGAATAATCCATTAGGTTGTGTATTTTACCCATGACCGTTTTTTAAACTAGCTGTTTCAGTTTAGTTCTTAGAATTGAAAAGATTCACTTTACAGCATTGTTGTTTTTACTTTACGAGTAATGAACCAATTAGGTTCAAGGATTGATAGAAAAGAAGTAAAATTGTAATACTGTAGCCTACAGTCGAACCTCTATAAAACTAATTTCAAGGGGTAGGGTAAAAATTTGTATTATCGAAGTAATTGTAATGAAGAGGTTCGTTTTATCGAGGTTACTGCTGTTTTTTGTCTTATGGAGGTTTCTCCTCGCTCCTTGAGACAATGACTGCTCGAGGAAGGAAGAGGGATGGGTGGGGTTTTCATGTTGTTACAAGCTTCTGTTTGTTTTGAAAACTACATACTATGGAGGTTAAGATAATGAGAAGTTCTTCTCATAGAGGATGCATTGTATGCGTTTTGGGTTAAGAATATTCGTTGTAGACAGGTTAATAAGTGCTAGCCTATGTCACAAACAAAATCGTCTTATGTAGGTTTTTAACCTAATAACTACATTGTACAGGTGTTTTTAGTATTGACCTTTATGAAAGTTTCAAGAGGATTTTGAAAAATTTTTCTTGTCCAGGAATTTGTTTTATTGAGGTTAGTACTAACTAGGTTCAACAGTACTTAGAACACCAACTTGTCAGATGTTAAGATCAATTTTATTGATTCAACAATGAGTGAGTGGTTGGGACAATAAGTCGTTGCATCACAATCAGTGGCTATGAGAGGTTATAAACAAAAACATAACCTCTTTTGGAAGTTATGAGTAGTGACTTAGTAATTAAGAAACGGTCGTAGGTGAAGTAGTGTACACAACTCGCTTCATTAGCCTTTATGACACTCGTAGAAGTTTTAAAGGCATTCACCAAGGCTTTTACCTTAAATTTTCTACTTCTGTCATAGAGACCATCCTTATGCGATCGTTGGGTACTACTATATTGTATTTTGTAATCATTCAAATATCTTATACAGTACATACAGAAGAAAATTGAAAGCAAACATTTCCAATTGGATTCAGAGTTTTCATTGTTCTTATACACAAGGGCGGTCCCAGGGGGGGGGGGGGGGTCAGGGGGGTCATGACCCCCCCCCAAAATATTTTTTATATATATAAACTACTATACCAGGGGAACTTTAATAATTTTTATTGCAAATCGTTCTGCCAAATTGAAATTCATTGTAGTCTTTACTCTTGTGGCGAATGAAAGGACTAATTACAAACTCTAACCTAAAACTCATCGTTCGAGTCTGACTGTTTTTTTTGTACGTTATGAAAAGTAGGGAAGATCGGCAGACGACGGACACTTTCAGCCATATACAGCAACGGCAGTGTCCGATGCTGACATTCGACGTTCGGCCGCATTCGTCTTCTTATTTAATTTTTCGGCATTTAATGTTATCACTCATTTTAACCTAGAAGATTGAAAACTTGAATTGGGTTTGGGTATTGGACAAAGAAAAGAAGTTGTATCAATAGTCAAAGCTTGAAAGGTAGTTGAATATTAATTTATCTGAGTTGAGCGTTAGGAATTTGTTATTACAGTAATGTAATTCAATGATTACCGTAGCAAATTTAAAAACTTTTAATATTAAATAGTATTCATATTTAGAGCACCTGATATCATATTTAAGAATACCACAACCCAATTGGCATGTTGCTAGCTATAAAACAACAACAAAATGGTAGTGTCTCAGACTTAGATGTGGAAGGGACAGATTTTATTCCCAGCACAACCACAAAATCGTAGCACAAAAACTTAATTCTCACGTTGACCCCTTGTAAAATGTCACTGGCACTGGCGTAGAAAAAATTAGAACACTGAGAACCAATTCTCCAGGCGGTAGCAGTGACGGGACGCCAACGGCAACGTTAGTTGGGTAGTGTACTTTGTGTAGGTTAACTGTTGCTTACTGGGCAGGTATAATGCAGTCGTTTTGGGTCCAAGTTTTTAAACACTTCTTAGATAAAAAAAGTTCTCTGGTTGGAAATCTTGGTCTGATTTTGGACATTTTCTGTTTAGCATGCACATTGGCACCAGTTGAAAGCATGGTGGAAGGAAAATACATCCACCATCAGTTGAAAGGGTGTTTTTGTAATTCAATAATGCTTGAATGTGTTGTAATGTTGCGGTATTCCTTTGATATTAAAACCCCAAGTCTCAATAATGCCCAAACATGTCATTATACAAGTTTATTTTTAGACATTTCTTTGACCTTTAAATAAACTGGGAAGCTTGAACACATTAAACTAGGCCCTCAAAATAGCTTCAAAACCACTCGTTTTAGCATGTTATTTCCAAATTTTTCCCGGACCCCCCTCCTTTGCTGGGGGGTATTCCATACCCCCCCAGCCCCCTGGTGACCCCCCCCAAAATATATGTCAAGGACTGCCCTTGCTTATACATTTACCTTATTGTAGACTTTCATAGGCTTATACTCAACCTTGTATTTTTATGTTACACACTGTAGCAAATCCAACAAAAGCATAATTAATTGTAGATGTGTTCTCTCTTGACAAAAAGCTCCAAAATAGCAAGATTTAGGAAGGATATTGAAGTATTTGGTAGTTAAAACCTTAGGCTACTACGTGTTAGACTCAAACCAACCTTACCAATAAATTTCAGTTGGTCCTCTAGTACTTAGTCATCAATTAAAAAATAATCTTGTAAATAGGGAATATGACATTTTGTGTAAGAAAATTTCCAAGATAAAGAGACAATTTTCCTTGCCCTAAGAAACCCATAATTTTTATTAAGTACGTCATCATTGTCATTGCTCATGGACTGGACTGGAACCCAAGCTTCCAAGGCAGTGGTCCTATTTTTCACTAGACCCACTCCTCTCTCTGCAGTTATTACTAACCAGTGATGTTTTTTTTCCAGTCTAAACCTGTGGCATTTGCGGTGAGGACGAACGTATGTTACGACGGATCACTGGACGATGATTCTCCTGTACACGGCAGTGCCGTCTCCTTTGACATTCGTGACTTTCTCCACATCAAGGTAAAGAATATTTTGTTTCTTCGAATAAATTAAATGTCAAAACGGATGATGAAAGCCAAATAGGGCTGTTATTGTTTTTACAGCCATTGAAACATTGTCTTTCAAGCTGACACGGTGAACAGCTGACTTGAGATGCTCAAGAAAGAGCCAAGCCTTGAAGTTTTTTTGTTTGAATAAAATATTGCGGTAAAGTCCTAAAAACTTGGGTGCTGGTATTCAACAGTCTATATTTATTGTCTGACTCAAAAAAATCATTAGTCAACTCAGAACCACAGCCAGTGCAAGGGGGTTTTCCCGAAAATGTGAGTCATTTGTAGGCATCCCTCAATATTAATTATTAGTTGGGCATTGACAATTGGATTTGTATACTGAAGTTTTGGCAGGAAGGGTTGGACTTAGACAGAAAATGGCATCGTTTCAAGAACATTAAAATCGCCAACTACCTCCGCTTATTAGTTGCAGTTAAATTGTCAAGTGCAAGGAAGACTGATTGCTTGTTTCAAGAATAGAAAATCTTTCTATCTTCTATACCAATCTTCCAAGTGCCTTTTTAGATCTGGCTGACCATACAACCCACCCTACCACAGTCTTGTTAAAAAAAATTAGTAAATTTTTTTATCTACAATATTAAATGAATTCATTTTATATAATGTAATACAAAAATGTTAAACTGTACAAAATTTACAATAATAATCAAAGTAAAGAACCAGGAGAACCAAGAATTGTACTTCAATTTTAATGACAGAAATGTCTGCAAACTGTGGTCTTCATGGTCTTCGTTTTGTATGGAACTGGAAAATTTCAGTTTTTTTAATGATGACCAATTAAATTTGCCAGAAATTGCCGTTTGCCCTCTCTTCTAGTCTTGTCACATAAATATTGTTCACAAAAGATAACCACAATGTTTCCGTGATCTCAAGATATCATCACGACGCTACCTTAACACTGGTAGACTATAATGACATTAATGTTATCATTGGAAACAATTCTGATGTTGCCATGATTATATAAGATAATCCATAATAATTTCCAGGTACTTTCTACAAAAGAGTAATTCGCTACTTTTCCACTGGCAATGACACACTGCCTGTAGCTGCAAATAATCTAAACTGTTGTTTAGTAGTGGATCATCATACTGTGTTTTGGAGTCAGGTGTGAAGGCGAATAGAGATGTGTCATTGTTTTAACTGCCATTAAACATTGTCTTTCAAGTTAGAGCTGACAAAAGTCCCTAGACCATGCTCCAGCAAAATCTAAGCCTTGCCTGAAGGCCAACGCATGTATTTAAGGGCGGCCAATTTAAAAGGATGTCAGTATGGGTTGTCTATTTTTTTTTTATTTTAAAGAGGCTCCAAAAAGAGATAGGGTGTTTCTTTTGATTATCGAAAATGACAGTTGTGTCTTTAGGAGACTAAGTTTTAAATCGAGACCAAGGATGCCAATTTCCATATGGTGATGACATAGATGGTCTTGTTTAATCATAAAAAAGAAGACAAAAATTAATATGGTGTGTCTCTTTTAATTCCCAAAAAGCGGTCTCGTTCTTATGGGGCGAAATTCTCACTGAAACTAAGGGGCACTGACTCAAAAGGATGACACCCTATAGCTATAGCGGTGTGGGTTGCCTGTTAAAGAAGCTTTAAATAGAAATATGCTTTCTCTTTTATATCTCAAAAAAGGAGACCACATATATATATGACCCAAAAAAATGTTTTCGGCACAAACAAATTTTGCACAAAAAGTTCTGACAAAGTTTGACAACACCATGGATGCTTTGCCACCGCTACGTTGCTCCGGATATGTCCTTGCGCTAGCCCTGCTCAGCAACCTCCTGGTCTATATTTTGCTCTGAGTTTATAAGACTGTATTGTCATCAAACAATCCCCTTAGACTTGATTTCTTTAAGAAGTATTTAATTGCTACTGATAAATTACTGCATAAAGACACACTCTGACATAAAAGATCCGTTGCGCCAGTGCTCACATTGTGCTTATAGATTCCATATCATGTCCTTTTACACCAAGTTTGAGATGTTTTCTGGAGCATTCATTTCAGCCTACCATTCCTTCACAAACTGTTTGACTGATATGAAAAATTGTGCTTGAAACAAGAGTCACTGAGACCTAGAAAATGTATTCTACCAGATTTGTCCTAGAATACTACCTCTAACTTTGATTTTCGGATGAATTGTTACTCACAAATACTAATAGTAGTGCATGTAAAGAGAGGCACTAAGACCCAGGAGATATGTTCTACAATATCCTAAAGCACTCCCTTTAACCTCAATTCCTTTAAGTTTTGTTTGTTTTACTGCTACTGATAGCAACAAAAGGATTGAGAAGTCTTGAAAGTTCAAAGATTTAATGTACCTCTGCTTTTAGGCTCCAACCTCTTGAGAACTCTCCCAACTTTGATTTCTCAAAGAGTTGCTATACTGCTACTGAAAGTAAAATAGGGAAAATACGTTCCTCTGACCTAAAAAGTCATTGTACTCCTGCTTGTAGCACAGGCATTTCCCATCTCCAATCCTCTGTGATAAAGTTGTTGAACATTTGTTACTAACAATTTAATTTTCATAGGAAAAATACGACAACAATTGGTGGATTGGGAGACTGGTAAAGGAGGGCTGTGACGTCGGCTTCATCCCCTCGCCAGCCAAACTAGAAAATCTACGACTTCAACAAACACAAGCACGAAACTCCAAGCTCTACTCTTCCAAGACTTCGTCGTCCAGTAACCTAGGTGCGCTTGCCAACGATGTGCTCTCTACGTCAAAAAGCGCCAACTCTCGAGGTTCAACCCCCCCCACACCTGGTAACACTTGATTTTTAGTTTCGCTCTTCTTTGTGTTTTCTGTTTTCTTTAGTTTCTATGTCGTGTTGAGTTCTTTGCTTGCGTGTTTACGTCGGTGTGCTCTTTTTTACTTTTTTAAATTTCAGTTTGGGCAAACGAAGGCATTTAGGATTTTTCTTGTCGGAAATTGGAGTTGCTGTGTTATAACTGCTGATTTGTTCTTAAATTTATAAAGAAGTTTAAGACCTGAAGTCTGTTTGTTGGTTTCCAAATGGACCTTGTGTCTTTTCATTGGTATAAAATAAAATGTAAAGTATGTGTGATATTTTAATGGAAAACCGTATTTAAGTTGTATTTAGGTCATGAATACCTACTATTAGTATTAGTATAGTGAAAATAGCCTAATAAAAATCAATGACTAAAAAAAAAACAGTTTAAAAAAGTAAAAATAAAAACTAGTCGAAAGTGGGCTCAAAATTCTATCATCCTGTTAGATAGTGTAAAAAGAGTTGCTATTAATTATTGTTGTAACTATTTTATGAATCTTAGTGTCATTTCAAAACCAGAGGTGTATTACTCGGAAGCAGTATTTAATATTGGTATTAATTAAAAGGGCTGTCCAGAAATTATCAGATGTTTCGTATTGGCACCACTTGGAGTGGTGCTAATCTCTAAAAAATTAAACCTATTATGACTTCTGTAGACTGAGCGACCAGCTGACTTTACTGTATATAACCATAGACACAAAGAATGAAATGTAGACCTACAGCTGTGCTGCGGTTAGCATAGGTTCTGGCATCCATAGCTGGGAGCGCTGGGTAGTTACGGTGTACGCACTTTGTAATTCCACGGCGCTCCCAGCGGTGGACGCCAGAACCTATGCTAATCGCAGCACGATTGTCAGTCTATATTTAATTCATTTGTTTATGATATAACATAAGAGCCAACATTTTCAAAAGAATTTCCTTAAACTAAACTGCCTGCTACCACCATAGACCTACCTGGTCTCTTCAGTGATCTTTTAAAAACAGTAAAGTAGCATTACGGTTTAAGTTAAGCAATCCAATAGTTTTTCATTCATAACATACTGCAGTCTTGAACCACTGATGTCTGGCTTATCAGCTTAAATTGATACTACATAGCTACTCCACACTTGGTGTTCGGTAACCAATTGTATAATTGGGAATACTCCTTGGCTAGCCGACAAAATATGCCTCGTTCCCAACAATTTTATTTTATTTTACAAACGTTCATTTTCTTCTATAGGCGTGTGTTTTATTTGAAGTGTTATTTAGTTGGTTGCACTCCCCTCCTTTTCCCACCACGTTTTCCCTCCTTTATTTAATCGGTGAGGTGTGGTATGGTTAGGTTAATTTGAAGCTTTTCATGTTAATGTTGAATGCATGAGTGAAATACACTAGTACCACAGTTTCTGTACGGGTTGTTTAGTAGATAAACATTAAAAAACCTATTTGTATATCCCAAATTGGTTAAAATTGTTGTACAATGAACTTTTATTAGCTCAATGAAAGTTCTTTTAATTTTACTAGTAAAGACTAAGCGTTAAAATATGAATTACAATACTAACTTCTAACCATTTCATAGATAGAAGAGCAAATTTACTCATTGCTTTTTTCATACTCATGATATGCCAGATACATATAAAATTTAGGCCTACTTATATAATGATATGCTAATGTAAGTTAAAAACCAAAATTCAATATATCAAAGATTTAAAAAAAAATACCTTTTTTGGTTCTTAAAATTAAAAAAAAATTGACGGAGCTTGATTTAAGAAATCAGTGATTGCCAGCTGATTTCATAGCACTGAGAGTTGCACGGCTAAAGTAATTATTGATGTTGTTTAGGAATTAAACTTTAAGAACAATGAATGTTCATGTCGTAATGAAACTGTTTGGTACAAAGGTTATAGTCGGTGTTAAGAATATCATCATTTTGTGAGGTTAGACTAAATTTCTAAGGTACCAATTGACTTGCAAGTGGTATAAATTTAGTTCTTTTTTTATCTTGATGTGTAGATTTAGAATAGATTTTAGCTTTATATAATGAGTGTGTTTTCAAGTTTGTTTTAAGAAATTAACCTAACAGGTTTGTTTTAGGAGTAATGCAAAGTTTTTCTGACGATTTGACTTTTTGTAATCCAATAGTATTTGGTTTCCATTAGTTATCAAAGTGTTTACTTACTAACCTTTGAAATGGGGAGAATATTGTGTATTATTATAATTTTGAGCTTTAGAGAGTAGTAAAAAAAATGTTCTTTGCAATTTCAAAGTATTTTTAGCTACATTCACGATTGTTTATTTGTCTGGATGTGTACAGAGCTAGGGACTACACCTGTGGTTTGATTTTGATGAAATTTGGTATGGAGGTTCTATTCCATGGTATCTCCAGGTGTTTTTTTTATTTTTTTGAAATTTAGATTTTTAATGGGGATTTTCCCATAAAAACCCATAAAAAACCGAAAAAATCGGATTTTCTAAAAATGGCCCGAACAATTTTGATAAAAATTTAGTATGTTGTAGCCCTTTAAATTCAGAACAAAATGGTACAAATCCCATTTCTGTAAAAATTACAGTTTAAAAGTTATTGTAAATTATGTTATTTTCCCATAAAAACCCCATAAAATAACAAAAAATAGGATTTTATAAAAAACTCCGGTTTTGATTTAACATAGTAGAACATGTGACACATGTAAGGACAGAGGTCCTTACAATTTTGACAGTTTTTTAAATTTTTTAGAAATATTTTATTTTTAATGGGGATTTTCCCATAAAACCCCATAAATTAACGGAAAAATTGGATTTTCCCAAAAATGGTCCGAACGATTTTGATAAAATTTAGTATGTTATAGTCCTTTATATTCTGAACAAAATGGTATAAATCCCATTTCTGTAAAAATTACGGTTCAAAATTTATTGTAAATTATGTTATTTTCCCATAAAAACCCCATAAAATAACGGAAAAATCGGATTTCCCCAAAAACGGCCCGAACGATTTTTATAAAAATTTTGTATGCTATAGTCCTTTAAATTCTGAACAAAATTGTACAAATCCCATTTCCGTATATTTAGGCCTACTCTCACCGCTTACACATGATAAAGGTTGTTGACAAACTTATGGGAGAAAGTATGTGTCAGAATGCTGATACCGTTTATTTTACATTAAATCCTTGTATCCTTGGTCATATGTGTGAACTCTGATGATTTGTGTTTTACAGCACAATAAAAAAAATGGTTAACATGGGTTCTTATAGGAGGGGGGGGGGGTTCGAGCACATCCTAGCGCATATTGATGGATGCCATGGGTAGAGGTTCTATTATCCTGAAAAAGTCAAAAGATTTTTGATAAACTTGACCAGCTGTCTTTGATCACAGTATTTTAATAAATGGTCCTGTCAAAAGAACTAGCTTACCTAGTCAACAATGTCGTCATTGATTCAACACTCATATTTTATCTTTTTCTAAAACTAACAATAATTTTTAATACTCCTCTTAAAATACACATCCGGGTTTGTCAACATCGTATAGGCCTATATCTAATCTAATCAAATATTTTTTTTGTATTTTGAGTTAAATCGTAACATATACCTACATATTTTAAAATCTATAGGTAACAAAACGTACTATACATCTTATCCGTAGATTTGATAACAGGTGAGGACTCGGATTCACTGGGAAACGCCAGACTTGCTGGTAAGACGACGCTCACTACCCCACCTGCCAAGGAGAAGCGGAAACCGTTCTTCAAGAAGCAAGAGACAACAACGCCTTACGACGTGGTGCCGTCGATGCGACCTGTGGTGCTCGTGGGACCTTCACTCAAGGGTTACGAAGTCACGGACATGATGCAAAAGGCACTCTTCGACTTCCTCAAGCACAGGTTTGAGGGCAGGTCAGTACCATGTTTTACAAATTTGTTAAACTCTCTAAAATTAGCGTTTGTACTGTATAGTAAGAGAGTGGTTGATTTTATATGAAGAAATGGATATACAGGGTGATTTGTACTCAGTGACAAATTTTTTTAGTGTAAGTACAAAGTAAATGAAGTGTGATGATGCATATCAAATGTTCTAAGTTTAAAAATTAGCTTCCCAAAAAATTATTTTATGTTTTTCAAAAATAACCATGTTTTTAAACATAATGCAGCGATTTCTCAATCACCTGTAAACAGATTTGAGTAGATAATGTAATTTTCGTGTTCTACATTAAATTTTGAACAAGAATAATAGACAATGACGGAGGATCAGTTGTAGAAACTCCATTGTAAATAGATTCAAAGATAAAAATTAAGATGTTTGACAAAAAATTGAAAAAGAACGGTTGATTGCATTTTTCACACCCTGTATACAAGAAAGTGTCGGAATATGTTAAAAACTGCGCCATTTTATAAGCTTTCCAACGATATGCTACACTATTGAGGTTTATGTCTGCTTATGTACGCTTTAATGGTTTGAAGACTACAAAGCATGGTGTCTTTAACATTTATATTTATAACATAGAAAGTCTGCATGTATTAAGCAAAAGTTGTATTTTTGATTCAGCTTAAACAGTTAAAACAGTAAAAAGTTCCCAGTTTTCTGGTATTCAAATCACTAAAACAAACAAAAAAATATCTAAACCTCAATAGTGTAGCATATGGTTGGAAAGCTTATAAAATGACACAGTTTTTAACATATTCCGACACTTTCTTGTATACAGGGTGTGAAAAATGCAATAGACCATTGTTTTTAAAATTTTTATCAAATATCTTAATTTTTATCTTTGAACCTATTTACTATGGAGTTTTTACAACTGATCCTCCGTCATTTTCCATTATTCTTGTTCAAAATTTAATGTAGAACACGTAAATGACATTATCTACTCGAATCCATATACAGGTAATTGAGAAATCGCTGTATTAAGTTTAAAAGGATGGTTATTTTTGAAAAACATAAAATAATATTTTGGGACACTAATTTTGAGACTTGGAACATTTGGCATCATCACACTTCATTTACTTTGTACTTACATAAAAAAAAAATTGTCACACTGAGTACAAATCACCCTGTATAAAGAAATACATCATACAACTAGTAGAGTGCTACAGTGTAAATTCTATTTCTCCCTTTTCCTTAAGGCCCGCAGCGGACGCAAAGTTTGAAAAATCGCTCACCGTGTTAACAAATAGAACACTGAGCATCTGTGTGCCCGGGGTAGTGTCCGCCACAACCACTTGCTGAGTGATTTTTTTAGACTACCAAGGCGGTTTGGTCTAGCGCATGCACAGAGGTCTGCCTCGAACGGCCAGGTCGTTATAAACCTTTCTTCATCGAGCTCCAATTCAGCAAAGTTGGAGCTCGATGAAGAAAGGTTTATAACGACCTGGCCGTTCTAGGCACACAAGATAGTGGAATTCCCCATAAGTTTCTACTCATTTATGGAGTGAACCCATTTAGACCTCTTGCAGGAAACCGAGTATAAAAGTATCAGTTCCTCGTCACTACCAGAATTGTTGTACACCCACAAAACACTATGTCGCAAGAAATCGCGGTTGCACCAAGGTACATCGGACGATATTCTGGTATTCTTGTTCACTACTAGCAGTGACTGAAATTCTACCTGACAGTGCTGTGGTCGCTAAGATGAGCTTGACCCCTCCCACCTTACAACTATCGCTCGGGCACAGTACGGTACTTTAGTTTTGTGTGGGCTGGCTTGTAGTAAAACGTCTGCACGCTATCGTTCCTCAGCGGTAGTGGCGGATGTCAGTGTGGCATGGCCCTTACTGGTGGATAGTTGATGCACTCATCCATCATTCATCTTCATCTTGAAATCTGCACTCTTGTGTGTTAATAAATGTAATAATGTAGTGTTAATGTTAATAAACCTTACTTAATTTAAAAATGGGTTGCTAATCTGAACCCTATCAGAAAACATCAGGATTGGTTTGTCATATCCAAGAAGGTCCGTGTCATATTAAGAGTCCTTGGAGCCGAGACGTTCTAACTTTTAAAACAATTAAAAAACTACAAAGAAAATCTCACAGTTGACTAGATATTTAAATTACAATCACTCTGGTGTTTGGAAAAATATTTTTGTAAATAACTCTTCAGAGGCTGTTTGAAATGAACAAAATTAACATTGCTCTTAAGGCGGGCAAATCCAAGATGGCCGTTAGCTTTCATGGACTCCCTAAGAGAACAATACAAAACTACAAAGAACATTTCTAATCTCACGGTTTACTAGATAGATATTTAAATTATAAACCCTCTGGTGCTGATTGCAACTATCCAAGATGGCCGCTAGCCTCCAACACCTCTTAGGTGTTAACCAAGCCAATATTATTTTATTTGATTTGACAAAACAGTATTACTAATTTTAATCGCATCCTGTTAAACAAAAACCCGGGTTAACAAAAGCCATTATAGAAAACTCAAACCAATCGGCGCAAAGGGACTTTCATGACTCAGGGGGTTGACAAGACTTGCCCTGAGTCACTGTGGTGGCAACCCCCGAAAGATAAGTTAGACAATAATCATCGATTGTTTTAAGTTAAGAGATAGATTTTGTGTATACCGTTGTAGATTTTAAAATGACAGTAATTAAAAATATGTAAAAACAACTGTTGTAGCAGCATGTGTTTCATGTATGGAAACATAAACCATAGCCTTGAAATTTAAACAAACAATCACTTTCTTTATTTCTGCTTATAAGGGGTTTACTGTGGTTTCGTAAATACAAAAATTCCTACTCAAAAAAATAAAAGTTCATACTGGAAATCATAGGTTTTTTTTATTTAAAATTTGATATTTACAAAGGGTTCTCTATGACCGAAAAATGAAACATACAGAGACAAACGATGTTTATCTAACTCTGGTTCAGTAAAAAATTAGCATTCAGGAGTGAAATTGAAAAAAACAATATGTGTATTATAAATATTTCATTTCCTGTAATTTTTAATAACAAAAATTTAACCATAAAAATAAAATAAAACCTCACTTAACCGAAATAATGAAAGTGAGGCTTCAGATAACCTAATTTTTTGCCTCTCTAAATAATTTTTTTTTTTTTTTATTTCATTTTATTTTAATTTCATTATTTACATTAATTGATGGTTGTACCATAAAGACTATGTCAGTTCAAGATATCTTAAACAGTAGTTTTTTTCATTATTTTAATTACCATCATCTTAAATCTACACTATTTAAAGCCACCTTTACACGAAGCCAGTTGGTGGGTGGGTTACATGCCTCAGGTAACTGAAATACACCAGAGGCAAGTAACCTGCTCCATAACCTACCTGCCTACTAGCCCTGTGTAAATGCGGCTTAAGGATAACTTCAGAAGCATGGACTCAAAACACGTAAAATACATGTTAAGTGTATTTATTTAAGTGTACAAATTACAAATTTTGCTTAGAAAACCAGTGCTTGAACAATCTTACAAAATTGCAACCATGGTGCCTTTACCTTGATGTTACCATTCCTTTTTCGCTTTGTCAATTGAAATTCCTCCGGGTCCGTGTAAAACAATCATGAGTAACCCTCCACTAACAGCGACTCCCTGGATGAACCTGTGTCTGACGTACATCCTGTAGTAAGACTCGTTCAAGGGTACAGACCACCAGTTGTTCTCGTACACGTTGACAACATTGAGATACAAAAGCGTTGCGAACACGCTTAGATTGGTTTTGTATCCGATAACCACTAAAATCACCATCCCAAATCCAAAGACATCTTGTAAAACCAGTAAGTACGAAGAAGTATCAAACGTTATGAAATTGAAGAACATAAGGATCACAAGGCATCTTCCGCTCAGTTGCAGATAGTCCTTCGGCTTGTTGTTTTCAATCTCTGGAACTCCGGCGAATAAAGTTTTTGCCTTTCCACGGCTCTCGGCAACTAGGAAGATCAATCCTCCGAAAACCGACATGGTGTACAGTGCTGTCGTACTGTCGTGGAATGTTTCCGCTAAACAGTTCTGCACAATAGTGGACCCAACTATTAATCCGCACGCTAGACACATTCTTCGACGATATAGAACCCACACACAACCTATAGTTCTCACTACGAAACAGAGGATGATGGTAGCCAAGATAAACTTCTCAAACGTATCTCCATCGTCTGCAAGTTCTAGTAATTCTCTCCAAAAAGAAATAATCACAAAGTTATCTTGAATAAATGACGATAACAGACACAGTCTTGCTACTAATGGTAAATACAACTTTGTTTTGGTACATACAGTATCAAATAGTTGTTCTCCTTTTGACAAAAAATTATGTTTAAAGTTCGCAGGCAACATTTTTTTCTCCTTGATAAACGCACTTATAAATATAACTTATGTAATGAGTTTTAAAGTTTGTACAATTCACTTTTTACACGTCACCATAAAAAAAGAACCATTCTTGTTGAAGATGTGTGTAAAACTTGTCGAGTTATCGTAGATTTGTGAGTGATCTGATACAGTTATAAGCATCATCATACAGTTGGCGAGGTTAACAGCTGGTTAACAGGTGTTGTATAATGGATCTGTGTCTGTTTGAACTCTCTGTGTATTGATAAGCCCAATTTCAATCATATTAGCTGTTGGTAAAATATGTATTATTGTGTGGCCTTAGAGAATTTTGGAATGTACAAAAAAGATTTAGCGTCAAAATGTTTAGGGTCCTGAAAATCTTTAGCGGATATTGCTATTTTATTTTTTAGAATATTTATTATACCCTACAAAATACATATGAAATATGTGCACATGTACTTGCTCGTTGAAAAAAGAATAAAAATGGAGAAAAGTTACAACAACCATCAGTAAAGATAATTTTGGATAACTTTTATACAATATAAATAAGGTTACTGACCTGTCGACAATCAATCCTATTGATTCAAACGGATCACTAGTTTCTGGGTTTTAACCCCATTTTCAAATCCTTATTTGAATTTCTCCTGGTTCTAGTTCTAGGCAGTCTGGTTTTGTCTTTGACCAGCCATATTGTAAATATTGTAAAAGTAAATGTCTCTTTGTGTGTGTTTCTTCCTTATGTGTTAAGTATTTTTAAATTTGACAACGGCAAGGGCTGAGTAATTCATGTTTGACAAGAAGAAATTCAAATAAGGATCTGAAAATGTGGTTAAAACTCCAAAACTAGTAATCCACTAGAATCAATGGGATTGATTGAAGACAGATCAGTAACCTTATTAATGTTATTCAATCAATTCTGGAGGCACATGAATAAAATTTTTTAGGATCTTAGAACATCTTAGTCACATCTGTAAAGTCTCTATGACTTTTCAATTAAATATTTCTTCCCTAGATCATTTATAAAATGCTTTAAACATTTACATTTAATCGTTACTAAAGAGAAATAAAATCATATTCAGTATTTAGTATAAAAGAAAGTATACAACGCTCTTGCCACTAAATTCAGAAATAGTCCTGGTTGATAAGTGGTATGGTATCATTCTATATGTTTTCTCTGAAGAAGGTTATTATCTTCTCAAAGATCTTTTAAAGATTTACGGGCTAAAGGTTTTGTTCTCTGAGAAATTACTATAACAGTACAGAAAATTCTAAATGAATAGAAAGAATATTTTAGAATTTGTTGGTATGTTTAGAAATATCCCAGATCATCCTAGATCATGAAATGCTCTTGCATTATCGTTGTCAGCATTCTACCCTGTTGCAAAGCACAGGAAAAGCAAATAGTTAAGTTAAAAACAAAATAATTTGGATGATTTCAGTGGCGCACCCAGGATTTTACTTTGGGGAAGACATCCGGGGTCTTTTCATAAATTAGGTACAGAAAACTGTGTTTTTATCTATCCTAAGACGTTATAAAAACTTAATGTTATAAAACTTATCTTTTTTTTAAAAAATTAGCACAATAATTATATCAATAATTATGAAATACCTTAGAAATATCCTTAGAAATATGAAATCACCAAACTTCTCAACTCCGTCTACCTATCTCGACTATCGTGTACATGTTAAAAAAAGGTTTACATTATCTTGCTTCTTTTAAAATGCAGGAATATAATGCACTACTGTCTGAAATACTTGCAAGGGGCACGATTATCTCAATTCAATATCTGACGAAAAAGATGGTAACGAATGTCACCATTTGTGGCAAGACCAATAAGAGCAAAGAATGAATCCTTATTCTTAAGATTCCAATAATGAGAAGTAGAAAAGTTATATGGTAAAATCTACAAAAACTCCCAATAGTTTTTTTTTTTTAATAGGCTAAATACATGTTAAAACTATTATCATCTTTCGTTCTTTAAGCTAAAAAATAACATTTTTGCTATATTTAATAAAACCTTTCTCGTTCTAATATCTTATAATATATTATAATCACTTAACACCATTTGGGAGTGTCCAGAGATGGGATCGTATAAATGGGAGCTTAGGACAAATCCTAGAATTTTTGTAACCCCAGATAACAAAATTAGATTTAAAATTACATAGGGGGTCTTGCTACCCTTCCCTTCACACATTCTTGGATAAACCTCTGGATGATAACCATGGAATAAACCACTATCTAGTAATTCATAATCATAATTCCACGCCGAATTTTGTGTTTTCCAAACTAACTACAGGTGCATTTTTTTTATAGCATGCGTCGTTTAGGAGTTGTAAGCCGAAAACTGGTCAAATAATCAACCTTTTGGCCATGTTGATGAAAATATCCCAACTTTGAAAAGCTACAGCGGCTAAACGGCTCGGCCGATTTTGACGCATTTAACATCAATCAACGCGGAATTTAATGCACTAAAATACACCTTTGAACAAAATTTTCTTTAGGACTGGTTATGTAGGAGTTATAAGCGAAAAACTGAAAAAAGTGCGAAATTTTCATAGTTTTTCGACTCCCAAAACTTAAGCAGACGTCAGAATCCGTCGCAAACTCACAGGAGTCTTATTTGGGACCCCCAAAAGGTGTTAAAACACTTTCCAGCTTTAGACGATTTTTTGGGGAGCACACCCTATATTTGATCTAATTTGCCTGGACTACACGTATTTAAGCAAGTTAAAATCACACAATGTCACTTGTCACTGTCAAAAGGAATCTCCTTAGGCTAATTAAAAACAGGCATAAGCTTCCCGTAGGGTATAGACAGCACTGACCATTTATAGTTTAGCCAGTCTGCTTGACTTGACAACACTGAATGTTAGTGGACGGGGTAGTGGGAAGGTATGGCGGAGTGGGGAGGGGACGGGCGAGATAGAAGGTAGTCGCCTGGTGAGGAGGAGATATGGTCGTTGTTGAGTGAGGGTGCTTATACGCACGAATCAAATAACATTGTTGGGATTGTTTCAAAATTAATTTTTTACTTCATTATATAGTTTTCTATTACAGTAGAACCTCTTTAATCCGAATCCCTGTAATCCGAACGTCCACTAATCCAAACGCCTCATTGCTGTACTCAATAAAAAAAAAAAAAATAACTGTACTGTGTTTTTGTCGGAACACAGTACAGTAGCTCTTTATTGTAAACTGTATTTATTGATATACGCACCGTAATTATTTTAATTGTAATGTACAGTACTTTTTATTCCCTATGTTTACTACTGTATTGAATAAACACTGTATTTTACTTTATAAAGCATTTCAAACTTACTAGCTATTGTTATGTAAAAACAACAATATGTTCTGTAATCCGAACTATTCAATAGTCCGAACTACCCCCGGTCCCAATTAGTTCGGATTAAAGAGGTTCTACTGTACTTGTTTCCCTAACACCAAATCTAAGCCACACCAGTCTCTGGCTAGCTCGCAGTTTTTAGTTTTCTGTTAATTTTGTTTGTTCTATACTTTTATGGACCACTCCTGAAAAAACCCCATAAATCTTTGTGTGCTGTTTGGTACCAATATAAAGAAATACTGCATTTTGAAAACCATTCTAAAATGTAATAAACCTTACCATTTCCCCTCAAGACTAGTAAATGATGAAATGTAAATGTTACAGGATCATCATAACACGGGTGATGGCGGATATCTCGCTTGCCAAACGATCTCTGCTCAACAACCCTTCCAAACGAGCGATCATGGAGCGATCAAACTCTCGGTCGACGTGCCTCGCTGAAGTACAGGCGGAGATTGAGAGGATATTTGAGCTAGCACGAACTCTCCAGGTATTTTCAAGTTTGATTGGGTACATTTGAAGATAAAATATTTGAAGTTTTAATAATACAAATGCTAAGGTCTACTGAACTAAGGTCTTCTTTTTTTTATGTTAATACCCAAAGTTTGGAGGCAACAGATTCTCGCTGATAGAATATTATTCTTTTAGCTGTGTACAAGTTTGATCTATGTCCAATGGATCTTAGATCTTATGTCTCCGGGTATTTTTTAACTTATATTTCAACTCAGAGTCCTTATTTTGTGTAATGCTTCATAATTTGATCTTAATTCATCCACAGTTTTCTTCTTTTAAAACATTTTCTTAACTCTCAACCTGCTCTCTATTCTTTCATTTTTATTTTTGAATGTGTAAATTAGATTCTAAGTGTAAATAACTCATGATTTTAAACCACAACAGTGGAATACAGTTGACTCTTGATTATTTTTATGTGTGGGAGCATGATGAATAATCTGAAAATGTAAGATTACAGAAAGTAATGCTCTAGTAAACCTGTAAATTAAGAATAGCCATTTTATGATGCCTCATTATGTAGTATTTGACTATTACTTAATTAAAAGATCAGTTTTGTCATCATTAAAATTAAATACAGAAGTTCATAGTAGATAAAGCATAATTTTATTAGGTTATGGAATTTTAATTATAGCTATATAAAGGTCAATTCACACATATCAGTCCAGTCACAGTTCCCTTACAGTCCAGTCACAGTTGCATCCGCAATTTCTCGGTCAATCTGTCAGTCATTTAGTTTAAGACACTCTTCCGTCACTTTATTTACAGTGTTGTTGTAGTCAAAAATGTTTAATTAAAACACAATAGTCTATTCAATTTTCATTGTCCGTCTTGTTGGTTGTAACAAAAATTACTTAAAATATAAACTCGATCATTAAAATAAAAAAAAGTACTATTATCTAACCTCAAACACGTCCGTCAGGCATCCGAACAATCCAAAAATATCGGTGAAAAGAAATCTAAAATTGATTGACGGATGCCAGCAGAGCGACTGACGGAACTGCAACGGATGAGTGTAGCCAGCGCAATAGAAAATCCATAAAAGAATATATTTTTTAACTGTGACGTGCCTGATGTGACTGGACTGCGACGTGTCGTAACTGATGTGTGTGAATCAACCTAAACGTAGACCCAACCAGCATAAATTTCAATCTACATCCCAAATTCTGTTGGACCTATTTGTATTGCACAGATTCAAATTCGAGAACTCGGTGGTTGTCTTGGGTTTTCAACTTAAAAATGCTTATCACACTTTTTTCTTGAATAGCTTTTAAGATCGTAATGCTCTAGCAGTCAAGCTCCAGCTGTTTGTACATATGATCCAGTGTACACACTGCTGATGTTGCTCTGTTACAAGTGACTTTATTTGCAACTCTTATAAATATCTCGCTTGACATCGTAGGGCATGTTTAGGTCAACGGCTTAAAGGGGAACGCAATGCCTCCCTCTTTGTTTAGTTAATTCACTTTCTCTTTCTCTATCTAAATAAAACAATCATACATTATGGTGTTAAAGTTATAATTTGTTGGGTCATTACAGTTTGCACAGTACTATCTCCTACAGTCCTACTGTTTTGCAGAAAATATTACTCTTGTCTATAATGTCGTTTTGTTGTAGTTGGTGGTCCTGGACTGTGACACGATCAATCATCCGTCGCAGCTGGCCAAGACCTCGCTGGCGCCCACCGTAGTCTACCTCAAAATATCCTCGCCCAAGGTAAACATTTTATTGCATGAGTATTTTCTATCACCATTAGTAAAGTTGTTCAGTTTTGGGATGTGGAATCTGATTCCGTCCTCTGATGAGAAAGTACCTAAACATAACAAGACTAGTAGGCCTACACAAAACCAGCCAAAGGTAGAAAATCATAAAAGAAAAACCACACAGAATACTGTAAAGTTGTGAAAACAAGATAGGCCTACTAAAAATCGTGAACGAGAAAAAAAACCATTATAGGCCTAGTACAAGGAAGTAGGCAAACACAAGGGATATTGGCTTCAGCGGCACCCCATTAAAACCACCATCTTCACTTGGGCCATCAGGTCACTTGTGGCAGAACCTAGGGGGACATCTAAAATAAATAGTGGCATGTCTCAAAATGGCCAAAGTGGTAGTAATGGCAAGAGTCAGTTGTGCACCAATAGTCAATCATGTTGGGTATACCTCTCTCGCAAATCTTTTATTTTCGCATTTACATTTTTTCATTCTAAAAATTAATTCTTACATGATTCAGTGTCATTCAATTTCATCATAAACTATTATAATTGTCATTCATTTCATAATATTACATCAATAAATTGTTTTCTCTTGAAATGATGTTTTGTTTTATATTCAGCTCAATTGACTTAAACATTAGTTAGATTAGACTTTTCAACATTCATTTCAGCATGCCAGAATTTTTACTAGTGCGTTTGAGTACCCGGTACACCAAACAAGAATCAACGGCTAACAAATTTTATCTGAGAATTGTTTCACAGGTGTTACAAAGGCTGATCAAGTCGAGAGGCAAGTCTCAAGCAAGGCATCTCAACGTGCAGATGGTAGCTGCTGAGAAGCTGGCACAGTGTCCTCCGGAGATGTTCGATGTGATACTAGACGAGAACCAGCTGGAGGACGCATGCGAGCACATTGCAGAATACCTGGAGGCGTATTGGCGAGCAACCCATCCACCCGTCAACACACCCGCAGCACCCGTACCACGCCCCATGCACCCACCTTCGCCCTCGGGCGCCGACCATGCTGGCAACATTGTCAGAGTCAACTCTACACCCCCAGGTATGTTTGAGTCAATTTTTATTTACATTTTATTTTTGTCATTCACTGATTTCTGATGGAATTGTGATGGCTGTTGGTGATACCGATTTTCAAAGTATTGCACTGTCCCTTATATGGCTCAAAATTTAAATCGAGCATAATCCTGGTTCATAAAAGTGTGAACAATCTGTGTTTGTTATAATCCTAGGCAAAGATGAAATTAGTTCCTCTCTGGACAACAAAATTTGCTGTAATTAGTTCATAGTTGTTTTATTATACACTTTGTATATTAACTTTTCATAAAATCAAAGGGTCCAAGGCTTCGCCTCAAAGAATTAGTTCTCAAATGCCTCCTCATCCATTTAGTGATGGTTTTCTTTCCTTTTTACAAAATCAAAAACGTTGACGTTAAACAGTTGAAGTCCCCAATCAATTGTCAATTGACTATTTATGTGGGTCTATATGCCTTACAAAAAAAGTATTGTTTAGAAGTTAGTATTCTATGACAGCACCACCAATTGTACCTAGATCATGATTCTCCATATACAAAATGTTTGTCATTTGCACACGTTCGAAGCAAAATGGGTTTTAAGAATTTCTCATTGTCACATGTTTGTTGTTTGCGATTGTTTTAAGTTAAATGTTTCATTACTGAATGAAAGATAAATGCTAAAGCAACTTCTGAAGAAACCATTGATTTAAATTGTGTTTCAAGTATTATACAGTGCCTTTTATTTCATCCCAGTTTTTTTTGTTTTGAGACTTTTCCATTCCAATTTGTGGGATTTTACCAAGAGCTTAGAGACTCATATTATCCATTTGTTAAAATTGACATCCAAGACAAAAAAGGCAAATGTTCCATAGTAAATAATGTGAAAAGAAGGCTTGGAAATTTCAGTGCTAAAATATTTGGTAAATAACTTTTAGAAGGGGTGATTTGGTTCTGGGTAATTTGGATCTGGCTGAATAATTAAAAAATTATTATTTTATAATTTTTCACCAGGATCCAAATTTTGTGTATAAAGTTGTTTCTAACTATCTAGACTTTTATTATTTATCCTTCTTTGGCTATTCTGTCTAGTCTAAGATGATACTAACACCAGCATGAACTAAAGATAAGTTGCTTAGTGTCCTAATGCCAAATTGTCAACAGGTGAAAATCCAGTGACACGATACCATTAATAACTTCAAAGTGTTTCATAATGTCCCAAGTAATACTTGAATATTTCAAAAAGTCAGAAAAACCAAAAACGCATTCCTTTATTAGGTTAGAAGCCATCGTGGCGTCGCGGTTTCTTGTCACCAGCTCAAAATTGAATATCTTCCCGAACAACACGTTGCAAACGGTATGTTTTGTGAGATTGAGATTTTTAAAGAACAATGATGAAAATAATATTCTCTACTGTGTAGGATATTATGTTAAAAAATACTTATGTAAGCAGTACTTATAAGCGATTTAATGCTTGGGAAACTGGCTGTGTTGGCATTAATGCAGCCAGAATGTTCTTGGGTTTTCTGAAAACATACTGTTTTGTTACTAGCAACGTTGTTCAGCGGAGCTATTCAATTATTTAACTTTCAAAGATGCATAGTAAGTTTCACAGTTCAGCAGTCATCGAAACAAAGTAACATCTGTTCTTGAGCTACTGCAGCTAGGTTTCCCATTGTTGGAGTGTTTCATGATGGGCAGTATCACTGGCATCAAATCTGCAGACCAAGCAAATTTCCATTTGTGCTTGTATTGTATTGTCACTAAAATTAAAATGTCGTGCTTAAAAAGTCAGATCCTCTAACAAAAATGATTTAAAGGGGAATTGTAAAATTTTCTGTTTTGGTGATCAAAAAAGGGAAAACTCAATTTCTACCCCGTAAAACCTTGTTTTCACTGTGCGATTATGTTGGTTTGCAAACTCATAGCTTATTCCCTTACTGGTAAATTCGCTAAAAGATCAAAACGGTATTGGCTTTTATTTTGACACTGTAGTACCAGAATTTACCTGTTGATAGTTTGACGTTTGTACATTATTGAAAGCCTCTAACTATGCTTTCAACTCAATCTAACCGCATGATTGCTTATAGGTGTCCATCCACATGACGATTACGGGTACTGTGGTACACGAGGTGATATAGGTACTAACTGCTTCTTATCTTACCTTAGCGTTAATATAGAGCAATCAGATTAAAGTAGCATCCACCAAATCAGACCAGTGAGCAAATGTATTTTTGGGCATAGAATCGACACACTTGGGTAAACTTAATTTGTAAAAAGTTATTGCTATTTGTCTGATTTTGTGGTTACTAGTGTAGTTGTTAGTACTAGCTGGTGCATGATAGCATGTAGAAAGTTCTTATAGCCAGACTTTGGTAAATTTAAGTTTTAGTTTTAACGAATACTTTTATACCTCTTAACATATGTTATGGCTTGTTGGTGTGATGTAAAACATTTTACCTACGACAGTTTTTTAAAGTAGCCATTTCAGTTCAGTTCTTAGAATTGAAAAGTTTCACATAACAGCACTGTTTACTATGACAACAGCATAGTTTTATTCTTAACAACTCGTGCAACGGACCAATGATGTTGAAGGGTTGAGAGAGAAGAAGTAAAATTGTAATCTGTAATAATTCAAACTTCAACTAATCAGCTGTTCAGGCCAATTTAATTGTTGGGTGGTGCAATTAGTGTTTGGTACAATGTTTTGTTGCGTCACTGTTAGCATCACTGTGCAATTATAAACGTAAACATAACCTCTCTTAGAAGTTATGAGTAGTGATTTTTAGTAATTAAAACACTGTCATAGGTAAAGTAGTGTACGCAACTCGCGTAAATAGTGTTAATGACACTTGTAGAAGTTTTTTAGGCACTCGCTGAGGCTCGTACCTTAAATTTTCTCCTCGTGTCGTTAACATTATCTTTACGCAATCGTTGCGTTAACTACTATAAAATTGATAAAGAATAATAGAAAGAATCAATTAATTAATGCAACGTTTATTGTAGTATTTATATTCTGAGGAAATCATAGCCAAATCAATATTTACCAACAGCTTCTCTATAACTAACCTGATTATTTTATCCATTATCTGTTGTAACTTTTGCAATTATTTAATCATGCAAATTTAAAAACTCATATCTGTCGGTGCTAAACACCTGTAATTGAATGACATAGAATCTGAGTTCAGAGATAAACTAAAGCAATGAATACAAAACTTATAGGAAGCGCAATACATTTGCTAAAAATTCTGTCTAGGATTATTTTAATTTTGTAAAGTTCCCACAGTGGCCGCTAGGTAGATTATCGCGAGTGTGCGGCCAAGTCAGTTGACTGAAGAGAGAGAGGGAGAGGGAAACAAAGAATCGGCTTAGAGATAGATAGAAAGAGAGAGAAGCGCGGACAAGAGCGATGGTAGTGGCGGCCACTCGAAGCCCATTTTGGCAGCAAAATTCCGGTCTGACTATTTTCCATAAGAATTTCGCTTCTTAAAGGGTTTGTATTCATTGACTAAAGTGTCCAGTGTCTCAAATGAATCATTAGAGTCAATAAATTAATCACAAATAAATTAGAGACACTGCACCAACAAAAGGTTTTAATATTATACAGAATAGCTGTTAAGGTAATTTGACCCATACCTGTAGTGCATGATAATTATACTGGTAATGATGTTGGTAAAATGTTTTTTTATGAAACAGATACAAAGAGATTATATTTATTTGTAGCCTAGTCTTTATTTTAAGTTTGTAGGTTTAGTTTTGTCATAAGTTTTCACAACATTACTAATGGTTTGCCAGGCCCTCCCTCTCATCCAGGGGTTCTACAAACAGAAGTTTACAATGAGTCTTGGCAGTAGCTTTTACGTCTGCTTCCTTCTTCTCTTTTTTGGGAGATCAACCATCAAATTCCGTAATAGTTTTACCCTGTGCTTTCGTCAGTGTTTTTTCCGTCCCCTTTTTATTTTTGCGTTTTGCTTTTCCCCAATTGTGAAGTTGTCCAGTTAATCCTGATTAACAGCTTTTGATTAACTTTCCCTTTTGAAATTGTCCATACAGTAATTCTAACACCTTCTCTAATTTTGAGAAAGTATTTACTTTTTTAGTCAAATTAAAATTACATAACTATCCTGAAAAACTCTGAGTACTATATCCTTGCGGTATAATGCTCATTTTTTCTAACTTTAACGCTTTTGCTCTCTTTTTTTATTTCTCAAGCATGTCTGTTAACTACATCTCATTTTACAATGTTACTTTTCTTGATGCAAATTCATCAAAACATCAATCTATACCTAACTATTAACTAGATGAAGAAAGCTTTCTGTCAGTTAAAACTTTTCAATCCAATTTATTCAGCGGCTTATCGATCTAGACTTGACCAAGAGATTCAAACCAATAACAAATTATGTTTCTTTTAACATCAGTTTCCCCTGTCTTTGTGACTGACCATTTTTTTGTGTTCTGTTCTGTTCCCCCTTGCTTTTCGTCTGCCAGTTGTGGATGTCCAAGCCATGAAGGGCACTTATCGAAACTAAGAAGCTAACAGTTGACATCGAAACACATTGCCAATTTTATTCCATCATAATTAACGATTTGAGTTGTTATAGTAAGTACAAAGTAGCTGCATGGAAGTGGAGGTTTTGACTTTTGCCTCTGAATAAAACCAGATAAACTGGCCGTATGAAAATATTGTATTCATTTAGGAGTAAATACATAAAATTTGAGTTGTGGCTATGTACTTTTTTGAGTTTTTCTAGGTACAGTACAACTCCAAATATCCGAATCTTTCGAGGCAGTACCACATTTGGATAATCAAATATTAGGATCAGAGTTGAAATTTACCGAAATTCAGAATATTTTGCAGAAAATAGACCTAGTCCTGCTGAGCTTTTACTATTATAATCGCAGAATACACTGAATCTGGTAAAAATTCGGGATCGATAATTTTTAAGATTTAGCTGCAATAGCGGAAAATTATGACGTTGTTTGCATTACCGCAGGAGAGGATAATGATCCATACAAGACCGCTGAAGTTGTTCAAGATTTTGCTAGGATTACGGGGAAAGATTTTGAATTTCCATGACCGCGGGAGACGATGATCATGTCTTAACAATTACTGGAGATATTTAAAATTTGGCTGTGATCACGGAAAACTAAGGCAATGTTTCCTTGACAGCAGGAGACGATAATGATGTCCACTTAGCATATATTTAGCATCGTTTTGCTGCGATCACAGGCTACGATGATGATGTCTACTAGACCACAGAAGATGTGGTTTTACTGCTATCACGAAAAACCATGTCTTAAAAAAACTCCTGATGCAGCCAAGCAAGTTTGTCCAAATCTGACATGATTGTGTTCTTTACTTCCTTCCATTTCATTAATTAATTGTTGCTCAGCTGGGATATTAGTTATATTAATCAGGTTTTTTTTTAAAACAGATTTGCTTCCATTTATTTTTTCTACAGATTGTAGCCTGTTAGTTTTGTGGTAACAAAAAAAAATTTAGTTGATTGTGGTGGTAATTGTTTTAGGAGGAATGGAGTGTAATCATTTTTAGTGGTTTGTTCAATATTCTGACTTTCTATGGAATTTTTTTTAAATTATCTATATAGTCAACCTGCATGGGCTTATTAAAGCAAAGAAGTTTATTGCTAATATGAATAGTTGTTCCTTTGCTAGTATGTTTTAGTATGGTCAAATCAAATTGAAAACTAAACTTTAGGATATAATAAATTATGATGTAGAATAAAACCTATTTCTCGTTAAAATAAATAAAAATTAATAATATAACCCATTACTACTGACAACAATATGATCATACACTTCATATAATTATGAAATATAAAGATATTACCAGTGTAATTAAGCTACTGAAACTGAAACCACCAGTTTACAGCAGTGAATATGTGACTCTATTCAGTAAAACTATTTTGAATATAAATACCTTACCAACTTTAAAAGAAATCAAATGAAAGATCCTACAAAATAAACTATGTACAAAAAAATTATGCAGTTAAGTTATGTTACTTCATAATAATTGGAATTATTACCAGATTTAATTAGATGGAACAAATTCAGATGACAATTTCAAACTGGAGAATATTTTTCAGGAGTGTACTATTAATTGGATCTAAGAACTTATAAGGTACTGGGAACTTAATTTCAAACCTTTCTTGGCATAAAACAAATAATTTACTTTTAACATATACTTATAACCCTTTGAGCTTGGGGAAACACCATGTTGTGCCTTATTTATAAATTACCAGTTACGCTAAGCTTCATAAAATAACTATGCAACAATGCATATCAGCTGATCGACAATTAAGTTAAGAAAACAGGGATACCAACAAGCTTGTTTGTCATTAAAATGAGTCTCATATTACTTTTAATTTGGGTGGAGTTTAAAAAACACCGTTTATAAAAAACTTTTATTCCTCTTGTACCTGTTCTTTTAATGTTTTAAACTACAGACTTTTCTACAAACTTTTTTACTAGAAAATCCCATTCACCTACTAGATGTGCTTAGAGTAAAGGAGTTGAAGTTAAGAGAACTCTACTTCAAAGATGTTTAAGTGACATTTAAATGACTGAAATAATAGTTCTTTTGTTTGCTCAAAATCATTTAATTTTACAGTCAATACATCACACCCTAACAGGACGGACATTATCTCTAGCAAAACAATAATAGTGAACGATAAAACCTAAATTTGTTCCCTAATTAATTTAAAATTTAGATCACAGATTAAATTGAAACACTACAATAATTGGTGTACCAGTGTGTACAGTATCTGCATTTATGCAATCCAAAATGTTTCTATATGCCAACTAACTATTTAAATCCAATGTACATCCAATCTTCAGGCTCAGTACTTGATGTCTCAACGCTTCATTTGAAGGCCGTCTCAAATAGTATAAGCTTTTTTAACACAAGTATTAAATTAATCACCACAAACACACTAATACACAATGATTTTTAAGTGTGTGAAAGAATAATTTTGATGTATTTAGTGTCGTTCAACAAAGGTTTGAGTATGTGAAATCTGTCTCTTAGATAACTGATTGTTTAAGTCAGTATAATACAAGAAGTGTAATCAGTATAGTCAAGTATAATGAAAATTGCAAGTCTGGCTTTCTTTTGCAGGAATGTACCACCCGCCGCACCGAGGACGGTCCAGAATTGACAGAGAGAGAGATTACGAAGATTACGGCGGAGGAGCACCGCGGGACATGCACTACGGGCCTCCTCATAGCCATGCTCATCCCCACCACTACGGGGGCCAACATCGTGGCCCACCACAGCCTGACGACAGATACCACCCTCGCCACGAGCCTCACCCAGACGATTACCCTTCCCCCCACAGAGCTTCCTCTCGCCGGACCCTCAACGCTATTTAATACTGACGCGACAACTTAGGTACAAATATAATTTACAATTTCTGTAAATATGCTTGTAAAGGCAGACTGGTTTTCCTCGGTTTGTTTTCTGACTATGAGGGAAAGTGTGAATTGCGTCTAGGAGAAGTTATATTTATGTTTTATCGTCTTTCAAGCAATGATTTATGAAGTTTATCCCTGTAGTTTTAGGGTTACTTGTAGGCCTCATGCAAATGGTTGAATTCGTTTGAATTGAGACCAGTGCATGGCCAATTCACGACTATGAATTTCTTTTATTGAGTCTAAGGATAATTTTAAGGGAAATATGGTTATGTTTTGCAAAGTTCAGTACTAGTTACAAAAAAATGGGGCTTTAACACTAGAATGATGCAATGTCTTTTGATTGCATGATGGAAACTCAAATCCTTTGGAAGAGAACTGAAAATGTATTTCCAACATTAGTTTTAGTAATAAATATGGTTCAGTGAACTATTTTATTCCGTTTTTAATTATTATGCTCAAAATTAAAGACAAATTAAAATTACTGAATGTTTTTGTTCATTTACAGATTGAATTATCTCTCAAGGCTGCTTAAACCTATACAATATATTTATAGCTAGTTTAATACGTTCTTTTAAAAATCAGCCTCTTTGTATAGTGAGTGTGGATTGTAGAAGACTCCGAAAGAATGAATTTTAGAAGAACAAACTAAATATTTTGCAAATGAAGTTTAGCGTAGCAAAAATGATAATTTTAAGACCATTTCAAAATTCATCCAACATTGAAATTATTATTAACAGTTTTTTTTACTTATGTATGTGATGAAACATTTTTTTCACTAGCACATGCAAACTTGAATCGTCTGCGATAAAACAAAACGTAATGTATCAAAACTATTTCCAAGAAAACATAATCATATTTCCTACTAAGTTTCGTAGGGTATGGCAATATGTAAACTGTTGTCACTCAAGCGAGACAGTTTCCGAATGTACAAATTGGACCAAGTCCTTAAGTTGTTAGATTGTACTCCCAGTTAAGTTGAGTGTTCGCTTTCCTGTTGTCTTGTTTAAGGTTAAGTTCCGATGTAGTGTTGAGTGTGACAGACGATGTTTACCTGAATAATAATTGTGCCTCTACAATAACTTAATGGCATGTTTTCATGCCATATGTCTATCTACCAGTGTTGTTTTGTTTTCGTTTTAAGTAAAGTGATAAAATGTGTGTTACTGGTTTTATGGTATTCTGAGTGAAACTTTAAGTCAACCGAAGGTAAAAATTGCCTGGATTTAAGTTTTTATTTTGAATCAATTCGAGAAATATCATTCTCAAACTTGTATACAGTTTAGAATGGTGCCTTTGGCAGAATTTAATGCGGTAAGAAACCAATAAGATTTCAAAATCAGTAACTTTACTGTACAGAATAATAAAACCAGTTGAACTCATGCTTTTGTAAATGACACAGAACGCCACTGGTAGAAATGTATGGAAATTAAACTAACATGTGATCAGTGTTGTACAGTAATGAGTCACGCGAGAGCCGAGAGCTAGCTTTAAGACTGTTGTACCCTCTTAACGGTCTCCTGATTTGTATGGTTTTAATGTCTCCATTTGATGAGTGAATCGTTTTCTATTGCCAAAGGAATTATATTAATATAAGTATATTATACGCATCAATCACTCATTATAAATAATCTCATCGCCATGAAAAGACATTTTTTAAATCTTACGATCATTGTACATGGAAACTAATACGATATTTTAACATTTCTTTTGTCCTCGTCGATGGATTTCGCTTTGACACAGTTAACTTTGGCTGCGTTTCACATTAATATCCGATTCCCCTTCCTCGTAGGTATCTAATGTTACTTCGACAGTTCACTAGCGACCTTTGGTTTTTGTGATAAAGTCTGTATTTTTTAAACGACTTTGTAGAGTAAGCGTCAAACTGCAGAACGCTGCTGAATGCTTTATCTTATTATCATAGAATTAGCTTGGCAAAAATTGATAATTTTATTTAAGCTAAAGGTAAATCTTCCACCTAGATCTGTAATGCATATTATATCATGTACAAACATCTGCTTTCATGGGCACTGGAAGGATCTTCTTTTCATTTCTGACACGATTAAAGACACAAGTTTTTGCTTTTTTAGGTTTTATGATTTTGTGGTTTTAATAACAATTGAAAAATCTAATCCCATGGTATAGTTTGGGGGGTTTTAGGATTGTTTCGCCAACGGGATAGGCACAAGCAACTAACAAATGTGTTATGTAGATACATTTGATGTCTTTTAACTTGATAAAATTTTAAAATAAATATGCAATTCATGTATAACAGTTGAACAAGTTACAGAAAGATATATTTTGCATACCTGGTACAGAATTGGATTTAGTCTAGTCAGTGAGTATTTATTAATGCAATGAAACTAAGATCCGTCTTTGTGGCTCATGCTTATTTTATATGTCAAATATAATCACTTTTATTGTTTTATTAACATAACATATCTTATAATACACTGTTCTACATATTGTATTTAGTAGTACTGAAATTTCATTTTAGTTATGTGATTTGTAAAATATTGTGCAGTGTACATATTGTAATAAGGATTGCTCCTTAGGATAGAAGGCTTGTCGCTAAGGCCAACTAGTTTTTGTACTTTCATCATAATGCTTTAAGAATGAAATCAAGCTGTCTTGTTTTTTTAGTTTTCCTTTCCGAATCGACTTCTTCAAAACGAACACTATACTGGCTTTACGGTACAACAAAATCCCAAAACTCAACGATCAGGCTAGGTGTAAAATAACACCTTTTAGGTCTTAGATTGCTAGGCACTCTACAAACGGCTTCCCCAGACCTCCCCTTGAACCTAACCGATTATATTTGATTTACATCGACTAGCGTAGTACTATATAGGTCACTTGAGATCTGTCTTTCAAATATTAGTGTTAAAGTCCACCTAGCGAGGTATTTTGTAATTTCTGTAGGTGGTTTTGAATTTGACTACCCAGAAAAACATGGTCAGATATTACAAGTTTTCATTGAGTAGTAAAAGTTTTAGCCAGTAAAGAAATGTTTTCATTAAAATATGTATTTTCTTATCTAAAGTATTTCTCTCTCAGTAATTGAAGAAAATCATTTACAAATTACAATAAGAAAAAAGCTAAGATTGGCTAGTAAATTATTTTGGCTTTTATAAACGATTTTACACGACACTAATATTAAATTAACCTGTAAATATCTTATTATAGTAGGTGCACTGTTTGATAACAATATGATAGATTCACAAAAAATTTAAAATCTTACAAAAATATGTTTTTACTTTTTTCTAAAGCTTTAAATTTTCATATTTTAGGCATATAGTTAAGTTAGAACCTATCCTGTTTTCAGTATTTTAACTTTAAAAACTCAATTTCAAGCGATTTGAAAAATTGAACTAAACAGTTACACTTTCATCTAGGGCTCTTTATTTGTAATCGTTATAGTTCACATTTTTAGTATTCTACGTAGAAATTGATAAAATATTGTTTGTAAATTGATTACCAGCCAATATGATACAATTTTAAATTTTCCACATGAGTTGAATTATTTTTTAAGACAATCAAATTAAAGTACAGAAATTGTATAGTTAAATTTTATCAAGCAAAACAAAATTTCAATCTCTCTTGTTGAAAAAAATGTAAAACCACATCTTTTGTAATTGTGGAATCCAACAAAAGACTTTATATTGGATATTGTAGTCTTTAACCCCTTAAAAAAGTACCAAACACAATTTATGGGTTTTGAACCCAATGTTAATTTATTGCCTCCATTAAAACTTACAAATAAATGTGTCAAATCCAAACAGAATATAATGAAAGGGTCTGAGAAATTTTCGTTATGTGATCATAAAAAAACCTCTCTGAAGTCGTCAACACCTCTGATTTATTTAGTTTTTTATCTTTTTGTTTTTCGCAAAACAGTTTTGTTTGCAGTGTTTCGCCTGTGATGAGAACTAAATTCAGCTGTAACAAAACAGCACTCACAACAGACATTGTGTGAACAGCTTAATATTAAGGATATTTATCTATTTCTTTACCAGTTCCCACCTTCAATAAGCACTCCCGACTCAGTTGAATACCATGTTTGTAAATAATAAAGACAATTTTTATCAACCACATTCGACATCTTATTTGACCTTATACTTCTTGTATTAGTGTTTTAAAAATGACAAAAGGCCTCATTACTGCTCTAGTCTGTCTCAGATTTTTAAGCAGTTTTCCGAGAGCTAACTTAAGTCTCTACTCAATAAGGATACATCAACTGGGAAGGTATAGTTAAACAAAGAGAAAAAAAAACTTTCTTAGATGTCAGTTTATGTTTTATAATATTTTATTGTGTATCTAGACATATTTTCAAACTAATTACGAATAAGAGAATATTAGAAGAGGTGAGATTTGTTGTACAGTTTTAAAGAGTACAATAGTAGTTGGGTATGTTGATGAACCTTTATCTAAAGGCCAATACGTGAGAGTCTTGACTTGGAGAAGTACCTGAGTGAAAATTTAAAAACGTACGTTTTCATGTCCCTGGCCTTTTACTTCGTAGATACTGGATTTGTAGTTTATTATTATGTGTTTTAATATTTTTTGGGATGGGGGCTACATGTTACACACATTTATTTGGTTTTAAATAGGTTCTAGGTATTTTTTTCGTATTTTTAAAGTCTCGAAATTCACGACCATGACGTGTCCCTAGGGTACATTTTCCAACTTCCACGCTGTTTTTAGACTAATTATTCATGCCGAAATATATAAAGCCATATTTTTATGTCATCAATGGTTATTAAACTTACAAAAAAGGAGCATATTATAATTTTATTGTCATTGCAAACTGATTACCATGACAAAATAAGTCTGTCCCTCGATTTGGCGTCACGACCATTTGAGAAAAAATTTCAACTTTGGAGCACGACAGTGGCAAGCCTGGTGTCGATGGAGTCAGTTGGTTTTAGAGACTAGTTCGGGGTGTACGTCAGGATTGTAGTGCCGGTCGTTTTGAGTTGAAAGGAGGAATTACGAGATTAATAAAGGAAAGATTGTGTTTTTTGTAATTTTGGTGTGTCCATGACCGTACGTAGTCATTCGATGAAGTAGACATGGTGTTAATTTTTGTTTATAAGATATTTCAATTGCTAGATTAACCAAGAAGTCCACTTTGTATCCTCGAACATGAGGTGCAGGGCTACCGCCAGAACAGAGCCAAATAACACGTAATTTCACGACCAAAGTTTCACGACCATCGCGGTTTTTTTCACGACCAATCCAGCCTTATGGATTATAGTGAGTTTGGTCGTGACAATAACTTTAATATAATTGTAAATTGAACAGTTTAGTTCAATTGAAACACATATTTTTATTATAACTAACAGTATAATTGAAGGATTGTTTAGAAAGATTTAGATTATTTCAGAAAATTCACGACCGTACCGCTTGTCCCTGACCATCACGTTTATGATTTCTATCATAAAAATTTCAAAAATTAAAATATCGTCATATTTAAATGTTTTATACACAAAAGAAGCACACCTCTATACAAACATAACGATTTTTTGGGTCTCAGGTAAGTTTTTTTGGAGTTATACAAACTTAAAAAGATTATATTGGCTTTTTTTCAATTTTTTGAGTTTTTTATTTTTTTCTAGAAAGACTAAATATACCAAAAGCTCAGTGACCTTTTTATTGTATAATGGCCATAAAAGTAAATTAGTTTATAGTAAAACATAGTTATAAAAATAATATTAACTATTTTTAATATTCATTTAAACGTCTGTTATGGTCGTGACAGGATTTTGTGTTTTTCCACTAAAGATGCTCTTTAAAAAAAAAACTACCAAAGACATTGCGTTACCATGGACATTTTATGAAACTTCAAATGTTAATGAAATAAAAAAAATAATAACAGTTTTGAAAAAAGGGGGAAAAAAATTGCAAAGTGCTTTTCCTGAAAACGTACGTTTTTAAATTTTCACTCACCTGGTGACTGAGCCATCGCAGGGTATAGTTTATTGTGATTGTAAAAGCAATATAAAGTGAACTAACATTTCATTTACAACTAATGTTGGCTTTATTATTTAGGTTTCAGTAAAATTTCAATTTATTATTATGGAAATTTTTACCTGGCAATCCACAACATATTAATTTATCATACAGTCGATGGTAAAAATCACAATTTTATAATAGCCTACACTTGCATAAACATTCTTTTGACTGTTGGTTTGAATTGAAACTTCCAAAACGTACACTTGTTCGTTTGCAGTCAGACAAGTAACACTGGCTGAGCACGTGGTTTTGAAGTGTTCACTGCGCATGCGCGAGCCCAGTGCCTATGATGGCGTTGCAGCTTCAGGAGGGAAGAAAACAAACATTGATGATTCGTTGGCCTTATAGTATTGGGGGGTAAACTTCGATATGGTGGACTGTATAAAAAATGAGGGATGTGAGATATATTATGTTAAGATCAGCTTTAGAGACACACTGTGAGCACAAAATAATAAACTTTTAAATAGGAAGAAATGTGATTTGGTACCTTCCTTTTTACTGAAGTGATGTCTAGTAGACCGTTGACGCACTTGATGTTTGCTGGCCAGCTTTCGCGTACGCGACCGGTAGTTGCACCAAGAACAGTTTGAATACAGTTTTTAACTATTCAGTTCACTTTTTTGTTAGGTGTGTCACAAATAAATACATAAGATAAACATACGATAATATAAGTTCAATTTATATGCCACAAATAGAGTAGGGGAATATTATAATACAAAACTAGGGAAAATGGCGAGAACATGATGCCGGGTTGAAGAGTACATGAGGAATGGGGGGAATTGCCAGACATCACGTGACAGGGCAAGGGTCAGAACAAAATATGAATGAAGTCTGGATTCACCTAGGTTGCGTAGATGCTTGAATACGGAAAAAGTATTTTAAAATAATTAAATCATGTTTAGTCCTACAACGCGCAAAATTTGAGTATGGTTTAAAAAAAAGTTGATCTTAAAAATATTATTTATATTTTCTGAATTTCTATGGCTTTCCAGGTATTTCTGCAAAGATTACTATCATTTTCACAATCACAATGTCATCTTGGGCATTGATAATGTTGAAAGTCGTTGTAAGTCCATTACCTATCCCAAGATTTTATTGTAACCTGTTGTATTATCCAGATAGCCTTAGGTGTACTTACAAAAAAATAAAGAAATTTCCTTCCTGCCAAGTCAACAAACAACTATATGGTTTTAAATACTACGATATCCAACGAACTATCTGCTAAAGACAACTGTTTTTGGTAAAATATCGTGGTACATAATGAGTTTGTAATATTTCTTGAATGGCTATAATATGATCCTAGTTGAAACAGTATATTAATTACACTTAGATTTAGAAATTTCTGTTACTGATTTTGGCGTTAAAACCCAAGAGTTAACGAAGGTACTAATTTTAAAAACAAAACAAATAAAATGTTTCATAAACCTGTATAAAAGATCAAAAATATTGAAGGACAAATTAGATGAACTGAAAATTGTTATAGTTACTGAAAATCACACTTATATACGGGTTATTAAACTTCCTACAAAGAGAATTATACAACACAACCTGCAATAAGAAATTATTCTTTCCGAGAGAAATTTGAGAGAACTGCTCAAATGTTTTCTTTTAAGAAGTCTCAAAAGTAAATGAACTTAGTTTAGCCGACTTGAATTTAATGGCGCTTTATTGTATTACCGGGAAAGAAGCATTGTAATTCGTTTATTCAGTAAGTTTCTTTCCGTTTAACTTTGTTTGGTTGACAAGAGAGTGTTGAACAAATTAGGTTATGTATTTTATTAGCGAATTTCCCTATAGGGAAGTAGCTATTACCGTAGGTGGCACGGTAAAACCTAGGCCCGGGACCGATTTACTTTTTCATTTTGATGTCCCCAGAGGCCAAAAACACCATTCGTTCAAATTTTTATATATGTATATATATATAGGCTATAGATTTATATATATATGTGTCCGTGAACGCGATAACTTGAGTAATTTTTGTCCGATTTTGATGAAATTTGGTTTAAAGGTGTAAGGCAAGATAAACTTGAATGAGTTCGCGAACCAGCATGATCGGACCATGGGAACGGGGTTTTCCGGTGGGTTTTATGGGGTAAAAATTGGGTTTTCTCATTTTAGACCCCCAAAACACAAAATTTCCCAATTTATTTCTAGACCATATTAAAGAGCTTAAAAAAACAAATAGTTTAGTATATCAAAGTGTTTTTGTACGGTTATTGGTAACAGAGAAAATTCAAAAAATTGTAAATTTAAAATTCCCATGTTATTCTTAAGGAGAATATTGAAAATGTTGTAGTTTGTTTGTTTATGGATATATTTTGATCAAACTAGGCAAATTTATTTATTTTATACTAAGCTATTAATATTTTACTAAAACACACTTTATTAGTTTCAGTTTCCTTGTGGCAGCAAACCTAGGTACTCGTTAATCGTAAATAGATTCAATTGAAAATCATTCAGAGAAATGGAAATTCGCTTAGTCGGCAGGTTTGCTGCGACGGGGGTATTTGTAAACTTATGAACGTAAAGTCATACCTATTAGTGCAAATTTTAGGTCTCTAAAATGAAGTTGGAAAACCAATTATTTCCAAATGGAAAGCAATCCTTTGGCCATGTATGTTTTAAAGAGTAAGTTAAGTAACAAAACCAATTAACGTGTGGTAATTTTTGCGTCACTGTGGTCCTCAGCAATATAAAGTTGGGTAAAACTTCTCAAAATCCGTTACCTCCTACTCCTTTATGTATAAGATGGGTTTGGTAATATTCGTTTTAGTAATGTAGCCGTTTAATATTCATAATTTGCGAAAAATATATTTCCTAAAATATAAATATCAAGAAGTTACTATACTAACTAACCTTATCTCATCCTACTTGCATTTAAATTTGTGGATATAAATCTAATTCTATCCTGAAGTACTATACAAAAACCTTTTACTTACTCTGACAAAACCGTCCTACAAAATAATACGTCCGTTCTCTTAAAACTCATTTAAAGTCAAGAGGTTTGTTTGCAAAAGGTTTATGTAAATGCAGGATGGATGAGGAAAACTCATCAAAGAGATTGACTATAAACACTC